CATCAAATACATAGATACAAGAACTGAGGAGTTACGGAGACATTCAAAGACTGAACAGCAAGAAGGATGACGTCAACTGCAATTGCCTACTTTCCCTATACATCGATATAGCCCCAATGCCCAAGCCTTTGTTGTCAGTGGTTGGCGACGATGTACTAAGATGGAATACACTGTTCCTAAATAAGCAATTGTTTTTGTTTCTTTGTTGTTATGCATTAGTCAGCAACATTCCAGCTTATCACATTAATATTGGATTAGTGGACAGAATAGTTAATGACATTATATCTAATGTTGAACCCGCCGTGAGTCAACCTAACAAAAGACCCAAAGTAGCAACAGCTCTTTTTTACAAGCAGTGGACTGCTAAATACCTATTTTAACAACAAACTAGTTGGTTCTTTCAGACTTACAAAAGTACGTCCTTGGTGAGCTTATCCTGCCACACAATCTGTTGGTGCCTGTCAGTCCCGAGAACCTGGTCTCCACGTAGTCGTAGCCTACATGATGTACTCAGACTGTGGTGGATGAGGAGTTGTAGTATGTCCTCTGAACGCGTCAAACTGAGAGTACGTGAGATTGAACCTGTATGGACCCTGTGTTGGAGGTCTGATGATGATATAGGTGCAGTTCAGATTACTTCTGTAGAGACCTGTACTGTACACGGGACTCCTTATTTGTTCCACTGGGGGTCAGAAAGCACCTGGTCACAACGATCTGAAAGTAAAACATTTTATGGTCAACAATTTAAAAACATGATGAGATTCAAGAATTTTTCATGGAAAAATAGTCTGGTGTTGAGAGAAAGAAACAGCACTTTGTAGATTATATGTAACAACTGATATAAAATTTTAAATATCAAAATACATTACTATATAAAGAGTGAAATTACCTTCCTCAACTCTTGTAAGACACGTTGAATCCCGGCCTACTGATTTCATTGTTTGTATGAAAGACCAGGTCAAACTGCACGTCAGTCGTGTACCCTGAGGAATTAAAACTACATTTGTCATACGATGCATGGATCATTACACATGAAGAGCATAAATAATGCAATGGGGAAATTCGTATGTGAGAGATTGAGCTTAGACTGGCATTAATGTTACAATAAATATGCAACCAAATACACTGAACTTTCTCCATAGATTGCCGGGGGGAGGTGTCAGCTGACATAGGGTATTTTTGTTATGATGTTGATAATACAAAACAACCTTTCATATTTCATAAAAGCATTTTTTCATACTTACATGGAATGCCGATGTATGTTTTCAAACGATTGAAACGTGTTGCCCTCACAGATAAATGTGGTTCCTGCAGCGACAAAACCACAATATCTCCCGGAAGTGTAGGAACCGTCTGTATAGTATACATAATCGTTGTTGTAACAGTTTGTGGAACTGTACGATGGGGGTTCTAGGTCAAATCTGTTGACAGTGACTGTGATCTTCGCCATGCTGTATGGGCTTGATAATGTATATCGGCAGTCAAGGTTGTTGTGATAGAAGACCATTGCTTGTCACAGGGCTGCGAAAGAGTGCCTTCAGTCGAGGAAGATGGACACAAAGGCAACCATCTGTAATATAAATGAATCAGTTTCACACAAACACAATAATACTATTATCGAAACGACTTGGCACTTCAAAACAATGAAAGGATCTGAAGGTGGATTTTACAATTTCTACGTTGTTATTTTGCATACATGAATATACAGAAATTGAAATAGTCACCTGGAACAATGTTGTAATGGATGTTGAAGCCCATGTTTGTCTGACTATTGTCACTGATGAAGGTCACGACAAATGTGCCATCAAAGCTGACTGTAAAAGAAAAACGCAGAACCAATAGTGTTGCGATTTGTGACATCACATCTGCACATATAAACATACACTTATACATGATCTTGCAAACAGTGAACAAAGAAACCTGGTGATAAATATTTGAAGAAATATAAAATTTCTTTGAAGAAAACAAATATCAAAACTGCCAAACTATGGACCAATGACGATCAATGTTTGAGGCAGGGTGGGAATGCTACACAACAATGTTCTCTTGTAACATATGTTATAATTAGGATATATTGTTTTCGGTAAAACAGATTCTAAGTACCCTTGTTAGGCTGAGTACCATTCAGATTCGAGCCCACACCCTCAGAGTCAGGCGCCTGTTCTCTTGTTTTACTTGCTTTATCTCTTACTTGGAATGTGGAAACCCTTGCGGTAACCCTTAAATTTGTGTTCATAAAACTCTTATATCAAAATGTCTTAAAACACTAAAAGTCAGGATACCATATACTCACAGCTCCGGTTCCCATACTGGTATCCACATAGTCTCTCTTCACCATTCATATCCACGTAGTCTTTACAGAGAGACGTGCTGTTGTCCTGGTCCTCCAGTTGGAACTGATTCAGTCTAAAGACAATTGTTTGACCCTCAGCGTTGTCCCCTTTATTGTGAAGATGCAGTGAGCACTGTCATTGTAGGAACGACTGTACACTGGCGCAGAGCCATAACCAGTGTAGCTGTTGATGTAGCCCACAGTGTCGGTCAGCGTAACATTGCATGAAACTGAGAGAAATGCACTGTTCAGTTTCATTCATCAATAGATTACATCGCAAGTAAAAAGGATGATTAAAATGACAGTAAGTATTACTTAATTAAGCATTTGTGGAACAATATGTCTAGGTAATCTTCAGTAACCCAACTGTCATCTGTTACCTACCGGGTCTGGTGCTGTAATAGATGTGATAGACTTCCCTCGTCCCTGCGACTGCTGTAGCTGAGTGATGATACCTCACTGGCAGCTCAGGCCCCACTGATGTGACTGCAAACATACGACAAGTAACGATATCTCTGTTTGGAGAAGTAGGGAAAAACATTGTGTGAGTTCAAGACGTGTTCAACTTACTTTACCTGGCTATTTTGGGTTACATTAGGTTCCCGTCAGCCGATCATGAATTGATAGATTGAGTATCATTGTAGCCAAACGCCGTGGTATAAATCACTGGATTGTCTGTAATATCCATAATTTACAAGCCGCCGTCACAGAGTTGTAGTAATGGTAATGTCAGCGTTAAAGAGGAAACGGACAAAAACAACATATCCTTCAATTTCTTTGAACTTCTCTGTTTTGCATAAATGCAGATCATTCCTCGTAACACCCTACACTTTGACAATTATTGCGACACTTCTTTTGTACTTACAGTTGTATTGGCCGTAAACAGTCCCGCAGTACTGGGTGTCATTGATCTCAACATAGCTGCCAGAACACGTAACGCTGCTGTTCATGTAGTTATGCGGCATATAGAATGGACTGAAGTACATTGTTATCACAAAGGGGTAGTAGGGCGGACGAACGATGTAGTCACAGTCCACGTCATGTGTTAGAGCAAGTCTTGACACAGAGTAAGAATCGATGCTCCCCGATGTTGTACGATATACCTGGTCACATGTGTCTGCAATGAACAGATAATGATAATATGTCATAAGGTAGGGAAAGGTCATCATGTGTGTCTTTGTGTATTACAGATGCTAACTGTAACCAAACCATAGACTAATCTACGAAACACTAAACGTGTATGGTACAATCCTTCAGAAACTGTTATTTGTGCTGGTCAAACAAACATACTCTGCTATGTAAACGCATCTGTTTTGAACGCCAATTTTAACCCCAATTACCTCCTCGCACCTATCATCTCAACGATTTAATCCTCAACATGTTCTAGGGCTAGACGTATGCATATGTCAGTGCACAAACAAAGTGGTAAACGGTAAATGAAAATTAATGGATATCGACTTTTTTGTAGTATGAGGGACACAGCGTTTCCAGAGTATGTTCTCACTCCTTCACCAATGAAGAAGTGAGGATACACGCCGAAACGTCACGTCCCTCATAGTACAGAAAGTTGACATCCATAAATATTCACCCCTAATGTGTATCAGGTATAAATGTCATTCAAAGACTTTAAACAAAGTGGTGTTTGGATAAGTTTGATCCAACTAGCTACAACATCTCTTTTGCCTGATCTCCATCCACTTTTAATTACAGAGATGGGCGCTCTGTGAGACTACACATGACAAGGACATTAGCATGCTACTATATCTTATTACATAACTTACAGTCAGTTACATGGTAGTCGACGTCCACCCCTCGGCCAGCTCCAATACTATCGGACACGAAGGTAATATTGATTCTCCCAATCAAAGGAACTAAACAAAGGAAAAGCAAACATAGAACAATCAACATTATTCATATAACGAGAGGGAGGTTTAATAAGTTGCTATTTTTGTTGGTCACACCATCCATACTCTCTTTGTTTCTTCATGGGCTACACTTTCTAATTGTGATGAACGATAGGGGCAGCATTGCCTACACCGTATAGGTCTCTAAGACAACGAAGCGAAGTGTGTACGCATACATTCAGACAAGCGTTATTGCAGGAAGCAGTACCAATTGATTGCTGATGTCCCACAACGTGTTGCTATCATAAACTGATCTAAAACGTAATACACTATTTGCGCACCCAAATGAAGTCTTGGACAGACATGAATTCACTACTCACATGACGTCTGTGTCAACCTGCTTCCACAGAAACGCTGTCCGTTAATGCTGAAGTAATCCCCACAAGATACATCAAAGAGCCTGACTGAGAAAGTAACGGTTTTGAGGGAATCTCCCAGGTCGAGGTAATAAATACACAAGGTGTCTGCTGGGTAGGTCAGTCCACCTTCAACCACAGGGGTGCGGATTGTACCACTATTCTGGTCGAGGTCCGTCACACAGGGGTCTGAAATATTCACATATTATCATCCACATTTGTAACTTCTATGTCGACATGTGCATGTAACTAAATCTGATCTGGAGAAAGTTGTACGTACATTTTACTAAGAGCCCAGATATGGGACATACAAAATATATAGCTCCTGTACTTTATGTATGTGTATTATCACACGTGTATTCTTTAACATTTCCAACATGTCCCCACATTAATTTGAATGCTCCTTACTGTTACTGTAAGTGTAGGTGATGTTAAATCCACTCCTCTCAGTAGAGCTGTCACTGTGGAAGGTGATGTTCAGGTCGCTTTCAAAGATGTTGTCTGAAACATTGAAATAAAATACTTTCACTTTAACATCCATGACGTAACAAACATTGTTTCTTCCTTTCTAAAATATAGATCATACATGATGATTATACAAATTCTATCCGACTGAAATTTGAAGGCATAACCACACAACTGAGTCGTTTATACTCATGTAACTAAAAGACCACAACTACCACTACCAGATTCTAGTTATTGCTGTAAGAGAAAATATCTTTCACTGGTGACTGTTTGTGTCGAATGTGGTACTGACATTTGTAAGATATGGGCGAAGTCCTCGTTCCACACATCCTGGCAGAGGAGTAGCCGTCGTAGAGGATCTGCATGTAGTCATTGCTGCAGGAAGTGGAGAAATAGTTACTCGAGTAGGAATAATATCTCTGAATGTCGAACTCCTCCAGTGTGATGTTAACAACCCATGGGCCCTGCTGGAGGCCTGATGGTGAACAGGCAGTCGAGGTTAGGAGAGTAGTTGGCGATGCCATTGCCAGGAACCTGGATCTGTCCTTCGGTGTCTGTGGCGACGTGGTAACAGCTGTCTGTAGAGAAAGAGTTTGGCCATCAAATTTCGACTCATGTACCACTCGTGCAGCAGTAACATATAGTACATGTACATACACATAGTCTGATAATTTAGTCTGTCAGGACATGGTAACAACTGTCTGTAGAGAAAGAGTTTGGGCCATTAAGTTTCGACTCATGTACCACTCTGCAGCAGTGACATTTAGTACATGTACATACACATAGTCTGATAATTTAGTCATGAAAGAAATAAAGTCACACCAAACATATGGATTCAGGAATGTTGTAATATGCCATGATACTCACTTTCTTCAAATGAATACTCCAACACAAATCCACGTCTCACTATAGATCTGTCAGTGACGAAGTGAATTGCAAAGTCGCCACCAAATGTGTTATCTGAAATAAACAGATTTATTATGCCGAACTTGTATAACAGATGTTTAATATGTTCTAAAAATAGAACATTTCACTTCCGGATGGAGGTGCAGATCAAGATAAAGATTATGCAGAAAAAATTATGGTTTGAAATATTATTTTCATATTCATGAAAAGCAACGAAATAGATATTAGAGGAAAACAGCCTCGAAGTAAAGATGAAATTGATAATATCCGCACGTCAGCGCACGCAAAATGCAAAATTACATTAAACGATTGTAGCAAACTGGTGTCGTGAAAACAGTGGTAAGTTATACGCTTAACATTTTACCCCAAACATACAGTTTAGTCTAACAAAGTGTCACTGAACCGGGAAAACTGTCTCACTTGTCCTCAGAGACACTGTCATGATGAAAACGATGTGTGACAGTGCTACAACTTGAAGCAACGGCAGTGTGATATTAATTTGACCTCACATACGCTAAGTCAAAACGATGTGTAACTCCATGCTTGGTGACGTCATAAACCTCTTCAAAGCCCAACCCCGTGATCTCGTTTGCATGTATAAATCACAACTGTCAACCAATTTTGACTGAACAAGAGCTAAGCTGTTTTCACATTTATTGTAGTCAACACTTACACCACATAATATGTCAAAGCGACATAATCAAAACCATATCGCCATTAAATCTCATAAAATGCTTCATTGTCTAATTGTATTCAAAAACGTAGAAATATACAAGGACACAAACATAGGAATTTTCCTTGCTAGTTTCGGGGTAATATGGTGAGGAATGGCCAATGGATTTCACGCGTAGCTAACAAAACGAAGGCTTCGTGGATCTTCAGATAAAACATATTTGATAGTAGTGAATGTGGTATCTGTTAATGATGAATACATGGTCATCAGTTGGCTAAGAAAACTTAAGGGTGTAGTACCAGCGTAATTGTCTTAAAATATATGTGACAGGACTGTTTTGCCCATTTTCGGTCCCACCCGAATTGCAGTGGAGGTTGGCGTGTTCTAATGAGTAGACACTTTTCGTCATTATGATCTTCAATTTTGACTGTTTCTTTTGCCAAAGTCAACAATATTCCAGCTTATCACGGCCATGTCTAATTAATGGAGAGAACAGTGGATAACATCATATCTAATGTCCCACCTGACGTGATTCAAACTTAACAAATGATCAAAATTAGATAGTGCTAATGACAAGCAGTAGGGTATTTGGGACATATATTAACTCCAACTGACGTAGTTCTTTCATAACGGTCGCTAATGTGTTGAAACATTATCACAACTTACAGAAGTACGTCCTTGCTGAACTCATCCTGCCACACAATCTGCTGGTGCTGTTGAGCCCCGAGAACCTGGTCTCCACGTAGTCGTAGTAACATGATGTACTCAAACTGTAGGATGAGGAATTGTAGTATGTCCTCTGAACGTCAAACTGAGAGAACGTGAGATTGAACCTGTATGGACCCTGTGTTGGAGGTCTGATGATATAGGTGCAGTTCAGATTACTTCTGTAGAGACCTGTACTGTTGACGGGACTTCTTATTGTTCCACTGGTGGCAGAAAGCACCTGGTCACAACGATCTGAAGTAAAATATTTGATAGTGACCAATTTAATGACAACATGAGCTTCAAGAATTTTTCATGGAAAAATAGTTTGGTAATGAGAAAGAAAAGCACTTTGTAAATTATATGCAAAAATTGATATAAAATTTTAAAGATCAAAATAAATTACCATATAAAGAAAGAAATTACCTTCTTCAATCGTGTAAGACACGTCGAATCCCGGCCTACTGACCTCGTTGTTGGAATGGAATACGAGGTCAAACTGTCTTGCACTCGTGTACCCTGAGGAATTAACATCGCATTAGTCATACAATGTATGAATCAGTATACATGACGAGCATAAATAATGCAATGGGAAAATTCGTATGTGAGAGATTGAGCTAAGAATGTCCTATATTTAATGAACACACACGCCATGACCAAAGTGACCAAATGTAACACATGTTATAGTTTGGATTGCACTTTTGATTGGGTGCCGGACTCTGAGAATGTGGGTTTGAGTCCCGGATGAGACACCGAACAAAAGTACTAGGATCTGTACTTTTCTTAGAAAGTGTAATCCCAAATTTAACATAGGTTAGTTTTATTTGATATTACAATAAGTTTGCAGCCAGATGCACTAAACTCTATACATGGCGAGACATCAGTTGTCATGAGGTATTTTTCATATTTCATACATTTGGTAATGCGGATGAACATGTCTGTATGTTTTCAAACGATTTAAACTTGTTGCCCTCACAGATAAACGTGGTTCCTGCAGCGACAAAACCACAATATCTCCCGGAACTGTAGGAACCGTCTGTATAGTATACATAATCGTTGTAACAGTTTGTGGAACTGTACGATGGGGGTTCTAGGTCAAATCTGTTGACAGTGACTGTGATCTTCGCCATGCTGTATGGGCTTGATAATGTATATCGGCAGTCAAGGTTGTTGTGATAGAGACCATTGCTTGTCACAGGGCTGCGAAGAGTGCCTTCAGTCGAGAAGATGGACACAAGGCAACCATCTGTAATATAAATGAATCACTTTCACCCAAACATGATAACACTATTATCGAAACGACTTTGCACTTCAAAACAATGAAAGGATCAGAAGATGGTTAAAATTTCTACGTTGTTATTTTGCATACATGAATATACAGAAATTGAAATAGTCACCTGGAACAATGTTGTAATGGATGTTGAAGCCCATGTTTGTCTGACTATTGTCACTGGTGAAGGTCACGACAAATGTGCCATCAAAGCTGACTGTAAAAGAAAAACGCGGAACCAATAGTGTTGCGATTTGTGACTTCACATCTGCACATATAAACATACACTTATACATGATCTTGCAAACAGTGAACAAAAGAAAACCTGGTGATAAATATTTGAAGAAATATAAAATTTCTTTGAAGAAAACAAATATCAAAACTGCCAAACTATGGACCAATGACGATCAATGTTTGAGGCAGGTGGGAATGCTACACAACAATGTTCTCTTGCAACATATGTTATAATTGGGATATATTGTTTTCGGTAAACAGATTCTAGTACCCTTGTTAGGCTGAGTACCATTCGGAATTCGAGCCCACACCCTCAGAGTCAGGCGCCTGTTCTTTTGTTTTACTTGCTTTATCTCTTACTTGGAATGTGGAAACCCTTGCGGTAACCCCTTAAATTTGTGTTCATAAAACTGTTATATCAAAATGTCTTAAAACACTAAAAGTCAGGATACAATATACTCACAGCTCCGGTTCCCATACTGGTATCCACATAGTCTCTCTTCACCATTCATATCCACGTAGTCTTTACAGAGAGACGTGCTGTTGTCACGGTCCTCCAGTTGGAACTGATTCAGTCTAAAGACAATTGTTTGACCCTCAGCGTTGTCCCCCTTTATTGTGAAGATGCAGTGAGCACTGTCATTGTAGGAACGACTGTACACTGGCGCAGAGCCATAACCAGTGTAGCTGTTGATGTAGCCCACAGTGTCGGTCAGCGTAACATTGCATGAAACTGAGAGAAATGCACTGATCAGTTTCATTTATCAATCGATTACATCGCTAGTAAAAAAGGATGATTAAAATGACAGTAAGTATTACTTAATTAAGCATTTGTGGAATAATATGTCTAGGTAATCTTCAGTAACCCAACTGTCATCTGCTACCTACCGGGTCTGGTGCTGTAATAGATATGATAGACTTCCCTCGTCCCTGCGACCGCTGTAGCTGAGTGATGATACCTCACTGACAGCTCAGGCCCCACTGATGTGACTGCAAACATACGACAAGTTACGATATCTCTGTTTGGAGAAGTAGGGAAAAACATTGTGTGAGTTCAAGACGTGCTCAACTTACTTTACCTGGCTATTTTGGGTTACATTAGGTTCCCGTCAGCCGATCATGAATTGATAGATTGAGTATCATTGTAGCCAAACGCCGTGGTATCAATCACTGGATTGTCTGTAATATCCATAATTTACCAGCCGCCGTCACAGAGTTGTAGTAATGGTAATGTCAGCGTTAAAGAGGAAACGGACAAAAACAACATATCCTTTAATTACTTGAAACTTCTCTGTTATGCATAAATACTGATCATTCCTCGTAACTGCCTACACTTTGACAATTATTGCGACACTTCTTTTGTACTTACTGTTGTATTGGCCGTAAACAGTCCCGCAGTACTGGGTGTCATTGATCTCCACATAGCTGCCAGAACACGTAACGCTGCTGTTCATGTAGTTATGCGGCATATAGAATGGACTGAAGAACATTGTTATCACAAAGGGGTAGTAGGGCGGACGAACGACGTAGTCACAGTCCACGTCATGTGTTAGAGCAAGTCTTGACACAGAGTAAGAATCGATGCTCCCCGATGTTGTACGATATACCTGGTCACATGTGTCTGCAATGAACAGATAATGATAATATGTCATAAGGTAGGGGAAAGGTCATCATGTGTGTCTTTGTGTATTACAGATGCTAACTGTAACAAAACCAGAGACTAATCTACGAAACACTAAACGTGTATGGTACAATCCTTCAGAAACTGTTATTTGTGCTGGTCAAACAAACATACTCTGCTATGTAAACGCATCTGTTTTGAACGCCAATTTTAACCCCAATTACCTCCTCGCACCTATCATCTCAACGATTTAATCCTCAACATGTTCTAGGGCTAGACGTATGCATATGTCAGTGCACAAACAAAGTGGTAAACGGTAAATGAAAATTAATGGCTATCGACTTTTGTAGTATGAGGGACACAGTGTTTCAGAGTATGTTCAGAGTATGTGAGGATACACGCCGAAACGTCACGTCCCTCATAGTACAGAAGTTGACATCCATAAATATTCACCCTTAATGTGAATCAGTTATAAATGTCATTCAAAGACTTTAAACAAAGTGGTGTTTGGATAAGTTTGATCCAACTAGCTACAACATCCCTTTTGCCTGATCTCCACCCCCTTTTAATCACAGAGATGGGCGGTCTGTGAGGCTATACATGAACTGATGACAGACAAGCACATTAGCATGATACTATAGCTTATTACATAACTTACAGTTAGTTACATGGTAGTCGACGTCCACCCCTCGGCCAGCTCCAATACTATTGGACACGAAGGTAATATTGATTCTCCCAATCAAAGGAACTAAACAAAGGAAAAGCAAACATAGAACAATCAACATTATTCATATAACGAGAGGGAGGTTTAATCAGTTGCTATTTTTGTTGGTCACACCATCCACATTCTCTTTGTTTCTTCATGGGCTACACTTTCTAATTGTGATGAACGATAGGGGCAGCATTGCCTACACCGTATAGGTCTCTAAGACAACGAAGCGAAGTGTGTACGCATACATTCAGACAAGTGTTATTGCAGGAAGCAATACCAATTGATTGCTGATGTCCCACAACGTGTTGCTATCATAAACTGATCTAACACGTAATACACTATTTGCGCACCCAAATGAAGTCTTGGACGGACATGAATTCACTACTCACATGACGTCTGTGTCAACCTGCTTCCACAGAAACGCTGTCCGTTAATGCTGAAGTAATCCCCACAAGATACATCAAAGAGCCTGACTGAGAAAGTAACGGTCTTGAGGGAATCTCCCAGGTCGAGGTAATAAATACACAAGGTGTCTGCTGGGTAGGTCAGTCCACCTTCAACCACAGGGGTGCGGATTGTACCACTATTCTGGTCGAGGTCCGTCACACAGGGGTCTGAAATATTCAAATATTATCATCCACATTTGTAACTTCTATGTCGACATGTGCATGTAACTAAATCTGATCTGGAGAAAGTTGTACGTACATTTTACTAAGAGCCCAGATATGGGACATAAAAAATATATAGCTCCTGTACTTTATGTATGTGTATTTCACACGTGTATTCTTTAAGATTTCCAACATGTCCCCACATTAATTTGAACGCTCCTTACTGTTACTGTAAGTGTAAGTGATGTTAAATCCACTCCTTTCAGTAGAGCTGTCACTGTGGAAGGTGATGTTCAGGTCGCTTTCAAAGATGTTGTCTGAAAACATTGAAATAAAATACGTTCACTTTAACATCCATGACGTAACAACCATTGTTTCTTCCTTTCTAAAATATAGATCATACATGATGATTATACAAATTCTATCCGACTGAAATTTTAAGGCATAACCACACAACTGAGTCGTTTATACTCTTGTAACTAAAAGACTACAACCACCACTACCAGATTCTAGTTATTGCTGTCAGAGAAAATATCTTTCACTGGTGACTGTTTGTGTCGAATGTGGTACTGACATTTGTAAGATATGGGCGAAGTCCTCGTTCCACACATCCTGGAAGAGGAGTAGCCGTCGTAGAGGATCTGCATGTAGTCATTGCTGCAGGAAGTGGAGAAATAGTTACTCGAGTAGGAATAATATCTCTGAATGTCGAACTCATCCAGTGTGATGTTAACAACCCATGGGCCACCTGCTGGAGGCCTGATGGTGAACATGCAGTCGAGGTTAGGAGAGTAGTTGGCGATGCCATTGCCAGGAACCTGGATCTGTCCTTCGGTGTCTGTCAGGACGTGGTAACAGCTGTCTGTAGAGAAAGAGTTTGGGCCATCAAATTTCGACTCATGTACCACTCTGCAGCAGTGACATATAGTACATGTACATACACATAGTCTGATAATTTAGTCATGAAAGAAATAAAGTCACACCAAACATATGGATTCAGGAATGTTGTAATATGCCATGATACTCACTTTCTTCAAATGAATACTCCAACACAAATCCACGTCTCACTATAGATCTGTCAGTGACGAAGTGAATTGCAAAGTCGCCACCAAATGTGTTATCTGAAATAAACAGATTTATTATGCCGAACTTGTATAACAGATGTTTAATATGTTCTAAAAATAGGACATTTCACTTCCGGATGGAGGTGCAAATCAAGATAAAGATTATGCAGAAAAAAATATGGTTTGAAATATTATTTTCATATTCATGAAAAGCAACGAAATAGCTATTAGAGGAAAACAGCCTCGAAGTAAAGATGAAATTGATAATATCCGCACGTCAGCGCACGCAAAATGCAAAATTACATTAAACGATTGTAGCAAACTGGTGTCGTGAAAACAGTGGTAAGTTATACGCTTAACATTTTACCCCAAACATACAGTTTAGTCTAACAAAGTGTCACTGAACCGGGAAAACTGTCTCACTTGTCCTCAGAGACACTGTCATGATGAAAACGATGTGTGACAGTGCTACAACTTGAAGCAACGGCAGTGTGATATTAATTTGACCTCACATACGCTAAGTCAAAAACGATGTGTAACTCCATGCTTGGTGACGTCATAAACCTCTTCAAAGCCCAACCCCGTGATCTCGTTTGCATGTATAAATCACAACTGTCAACCAATTTTGACTGAACAAGAGCTAAGCTGTTTTCACATTTATTGTAGTCAACACTTACACCACATAATATGTCAAAGCGACATAATCAAAACCATATCGCCATTAAATCTCATAAAATGCTTCATTGTCTCATTGTATTCAAAAACGTAGAAATATACAAGGACACAAACATAGGAATTTTCCTTGCTAGTTTCGGGGTAATATGGTGAGGAATGGCCAATGAATTTCACGCATAGCTAACAAAACGAAGGCTTCGTGGATCTTCAGATAAAACATATTTGATAGTAGTGAATGTGGTATCTGTTAATGATGAATACATGGCCATCAGTTGGCTAAGAAAACTTAAGGGTGTAGTACCAGCGTAATTGTCTTAAAATATATGTGACAGGACTGTTTTGCCCATTTTCGGTCCCACCCGAATTGCAGTGGAGGTTGGCGTGTTCTAATGAGTAGACACTTTTCGTCATTATGATCTTCAATTTTGACTGTTTCTTTTTGCCAAAGTCAACAATATTCCAGCTTATCACGGCCATGTCTAATTAATGGAGAGAACAGTGGATAACATCATATCTAATGTCCCACCTGAGGTGATTCAAACTTAACAAATGATCAAAATTAGATAGTGCTAATGACAAGCAGTAGGGTATTTGGGACATATATTAACTCCAACTGACGTAGTTCTTTCATAACGGTCGCTAATGTTGAGAAACATTATCACAACTTACAGAAGTACGTCCTTGCTGAACTCATCCTGCCACACAATCTGCTGGTGCTGTTGAGCCCCGAGAACCTGGTCTCCACGTAGTCGTAGTAACATGATGTACTCAAACTGTAGGATGAGGAATTGTAGTATGTCCTCTGAACGTCAAACTGAGAGAACGTGAGATTGAACCTGTATGGACCCTGTGTTGGAGGTCTGATGATATAGGTGCAGTTCAGATTACTTCTGTAGAGACCTGTACTGTTGACGGGACTTCTTATTGTTCCACTGGTGGCAGAAAGCACCTGGTCACAACGATCTGAAGTAAAATATTTGATAGTGACCAATTTAATGACAACATGAGCTTCAAGAATTTTTCATGGAAAAATAGTTTGGTAATGAGAAAGAAAAGCACTTTGTAAATTATATGCAAAAATTGATATAAAATTTTAAAGATCAAAATAAATTACCATATAAAGAAAGAAATTACCTTCTTCAATCGTGTAAGACACGTCGAATCCCGGCCTACTGACCTCGTTGTTTGAATGGAAGACAAGGTCAAACTGTCTTGCACTCGTGTACCCTGAGGAATTAACATCGCATTAGTCATACAATGTATGAATCAGTATACATGACGAACATAAATAATGCAATGGGAAAATTCGTATGTGAGAGATTGAGCTAAGAATGTCCTATATTTAATGAACACACACGCCATGACCAAAGTGACCAAATGTAACACATGTTATAGTTTGGATTGCACTTTTGATTGGGTGCCGGACTCTGAGAATGTGGGTTTGAGTCCCGGATGAGACACCGAACAAAAGTACTAGGATCTGTACTTTTCTTAGAAAGTGTAATCCCAAATTTAACATAGGTTAATTTTATTTGATATTACAATAAGTTTGCAGCCAGATGCACTAAACTCTATACATGGCGAGACATCAGTTGTCATGAGGTATTTTTCATATTTCATACATTTGGTAATGCGGATGAACATGTCTGTATGTTTTCAAACGATTTAAACTTGTTGCCCTCACAGATAAATGTGGTTCCTGCAGCGACAAAACCACAATATCTCCCGGAAGTGTAGGAACCGTCTGTATAGTATACATAATCGTTGTAACAGTTTGTGGAACTGTACGATGGGGGTTCTAGGTCAAATCTGTTGACAGTGACTGTGATCTTCGCCATGCTGTATGGGCTTGATAATGTATATCGGCAGTCAAGGTTGTTGTGATAGAGACCATTGCTTGTCACAGGGCTGCGAAGAGTGCCTTCAGTCGAGAAGATGGACACAAGGCAACCATCTGTAATATAAATGAATCACTTTCACCCAAACATGATAACACTATTATCGAAACGACTTACCTTTTGTACTTTAAAACAGTGACTGGACCCTACAGAGGTTGCAGTTTTTACATTGTTATTTTGCATACATGAATATAACAGAAGTTAAAATAGTCACCTGGAACAATGTTGTAATGGATGTTGAAGCCCATGTTTGTCTGACTATTGTCACTGATGAAGGTCACGACAAATGTGCCATCAAAGCTGACTGTAAAAGAAACGCAGAGCCAATAGTGTTACGATTTGTAAACATAAACATATTCGGAATCGCTTAAACTGTGAACAAAATGGAAATATAATATATATAAAAGATAATATGTATGTATACATATGTGACGAAATCTGAACCGATCTTAGAGAAAACAAATATCAAAACTACTAATTTGTGGAGAAATGTCTATTAATGTTTGAGGCCGGTGAAAATGCTCTACAACCATGCTCTCTTGTTGTGCACGTTTGCTTAATGGATATTGAAGGTTGTGTTCATGAAACTGTTATATCAAAATTTTCTAAAACACTAAAAGCCAGGATACCATATACTCACAGCTCCGGTTCCCATACTGGTATCCACACAGTCTCTCTTCACCATTCATATCCACGTAGTCTTTACAGAGAAACGTGCTGTTGTCACGGTCCTCCAGTTGGAACTGATTCAATCTAAAGACAATTGTTTGACCCGCAGCGTCGTCTCTCTTTATTGTGAAGATGCAGTGAGTGCTGCCGTTCGGAACGACTGTACACTGGCGCAGAGCCATAACCAGTGTAGCTGTTGATGTAGCCCACAGTGTCGGTCAGCGTTACATTGCATGAAACTAAAATAAATGCACTATTCAGTTCCACTTATCAATCGATTACATCACAAGTAGAAGGATAATTAAAATGACAGTAAGTATTACTTAACTAAGCATTTGTGGAATAATATGTCTAGGTAATCTTCAGTAACCCAACTGTCATCTGTTACCTACCGGGTCTGGTGCTGTAGTAGATATGATAGACTTCACTCGTCCCTGGGACCGCTGTAGCTGAGTGATGATACCTCACTGGCAGCTCAGGCCCCACTGATGTGACTGCAAACATATGATAAGTAACGATATCTATGTGTGGAGAAGTAGGGCATTGTCACAAAATTCAGATCTCATATGAGTGTCAGTTCCATGATCAATGTCGATGCTTTACATATTCTACAAGCCCAGGTTATTCCGGGTCAAATCGGGTTTCCATCAGCCTAATTACAAATGTTTATGTTGTTCAGTTGGGTTGAATTGATAGAGTCTCATTGTAGCCAGTTGTTCATGGTATCAATCAGTGGATGGTCCTCTCCATACTCGATAATATACAAGCCGCCATCATAGAGTTGGAATATTGCTTATGTCAGCGTTAAACACGAAAAGGAACAAAAATAAAACATATTCGTCAATTTCCTATAGCTTCTCTATCTTGCATGCATACAGATTATACCTCGTAACACACTAGACTATGAAAAAATATATCGACATGTCTTGTGTACTTACAGTTGTATTGGCCGTAAACAGTCCCGCAGTACTGGGTGTCATTGATCTCCACATAGCTGCCAGAACACGTAACGCTGCTGTTCATGTAGTTATGCGGCATATAGAATGGACTGAAGAACATTGTTGTCACAAAGGGGTAGTAGGGCGGACGAACGATGTATTCACAGTCCACGTCATGTGTGAGAGCAAGTCTTGACACAGAGTAAGAATCGATGCTCCCTGTCGTTTCATGATACACCTGGTCACATGTGTCTGCAATGAACAGATATAATGACATGTTATAAAACATGGGAAAAGTCATCATGTGTGTCTTTGTTGATTACAGATACTAACTGTGATAGAAACACAGACTAGTCAACAGAACACTAAACGTGTATGGGATAATCCTTCAGAAACTGTTTTGGATTGGTATATTCTTAGTCATTCACCCTGATAAAAAAGTAAGAATACACGCCGAAACGCCATGTCCCTCATGCATTTAGTGTTGACAGAAGTTGACGTCCATAAATATTCACCTTTTATGTGTATAAGATATAAATGCCATTCAAAGACTTCAAACAAAGTGGATAATTTTGATCCAACTAACTACAACAACCCGTTTGCCTCATCTCCACCCACTGTAATCACAGATGGAGCTCTAAGAGACTATACATGAACTGAAAACAAACAAGGTTACTAGTATGCTGTTATATCGTATTACATAACTTACAGTCAGTTACATGGTAGTCGACGTCCACCCCTCGGCCAGCTCCAATACTATCTGACAGGAAGGTAATATTGATCCTCCCAGTCAAAGGAACTAAACAAAGGAAAAGCAAATGTAGAACAGTCAACATAATTCACATGACGAAAGCGAGGTTTAATAGGTTGCTAGTTTTGTTCGGAGATGTTCGAATACCAACTACATCCTTCATGTAGCCACACTTTCTAACTGTGATGAAAGATAGGGACAGCATTGCCGCCATCGTATAGGTCTCTAAGACAACGAAACAAAATGTGTATGCATATATTCAGACAAACGTTATTGCAGGAAACAACACTAATTGGTTGTCGCTGTCCCATAACGTTTTGCTATTTAAACTGGTCTAAAACACTTGATTAGCCACCGTTATCGTATGGTAGTATATAAAACCATTCACACCTAATGGACGTCTTGGACGGACATGGATTCACTACTCACATGACGTCTGTGTCAACCTGTTTCCACAGAAACTCTGTCCGTTAATGCTGAAGTAATCCCCACAAGGTACATCAAACACCCTGACTGTGAAAGTAACGGTCTTGAGGGAATCTCCCAGGTCGAGGTAATAAATACACAAGGTGTCTGGTGGGTAGGTCAGTTCACCTTCAGTCACCGGGCTGCGGATTGTACCGTTATTTGGGTCGAGGTCCGTCACACAGGTGTCTGAAATATTCACATATTATCATCCACATTTGTAACCTCTATGTCGACATATGTATGTAACTAAATCTGATCTGGAGAGAGTTCTACGTACATATTACTCAAAACACAGATGTTGGGCCAAAAATGGACTGGATAAATATCTAGGTCCTGTCCTAAATGCATGTATATTTTAAGCCTTTCTCAACATGCCTCCAAATTATTTTGAACGCTCCTTACTGTTGCTGTAAGTGTAGGTGAAGTTAAATCCACTCCTCTCAGTAGAGCTGTCACTGTGAAAGGTGATGTTCAGGTCGCTTTCAAAGATGTTGTCTGAAAAGATTGGAATAAAATACTTCCTCTTTGACACCAATCACTCAACAGCATAAATTCATTCTTTCTTTTAAAATATAGAATAAATACCATGATCATACAAATTCTACACAACTGTATTATCCTCTATATTGAAGCATCACGGCGTAATCACGCAACTGGGCGATTTAATATATACAAATCAGAATATGCCTATAAGCACTTGATTACAATTATCCTTAGAAGCGATAATGTCTTTCACTGATGGCTGTTTGTATCGAATGTGTTACTGACATTTGTAAGATATTGGCGAAGTCCTCGTTCCACACATCCTGGAAGAGGAGTAGCCGTCGTAGAGGATCTGCATGTAGTCATAGCGGCAGGAGTTGGAGAAATAGTTACTCGAGTAGGAATAATATCTCTGAACGTCAAACTCTTCCAGAGTGATGTTAACAACCCATGGGCCACCTGCTGGAGGCCTGATGGTGAACAGGCAGTCGAGGTTAGGAGAGTAGTTGGCGCTGGCATTGCCAGGAACCTGGACCTGTCCTTCGGTGTCTGTCAGGACGTGGTAACAGCTGTCTGTAGAGTAAGAGTTTGGGCCATCAAATTACGACTCATGTACCACTCTGCAGCAGTGACATATAGTACATGTACATACACATAGTCTGATAATTTAGTCTGTCAGGACATGGTAACATCTGCCTGTAGAAGAAGGGATTTGGGCATCAAATTACGTCTCTATGTTCAATTTCAATTATGCGTGATCTTTATGTCTAATAAAGTGACTACAGTGTTCAATAATTACGGTAAAACAAGTGCATGTGTAGGTGTCACAAGGGAAATAACTCATGCAAAAAAATAAGTTTCTGTCTGTTTACATTTGGACGCTGAATTTCTTCTGTACTTGGAATAATTTGGATTGGCGTTATCATGCATAAAGGAAGGAAGCAGTGTAACAGCCTAAATAATCAAACACGAAAACGTTCAATGAAGTAATAGCTTTCATTGGTCAAATCTCGCGTGTCAGATTCTTATCCCGAGTTTGATGCGGCGCTCTCAAAGGAAGAGCTGAGTTCTAATGTCCTGCGCATATGCTGTATTTTCTACATTGCTCAAGTTTGCCGTTTTGTGCCTGTGGAATGTTTGTAATTAGTTCTGTGGAATGATTTATGTTATATCAAATGTTGGAAGTTGTTTAATAACGTAATGATCATACCATTCCAGCACAGACCAGCAACGGCTGAACTATATTCAATGTACAACTACAAACTCCCCGCAAACTAATATCAAAGTAAAGCTAAATAATTTGATGGCTGTCATAGCCTATCGTTAAGTCACTATTGCTTTTAAATCATTACACTCTGTTTTACCAGTTTCCACGTACAATAACGAAACCATGGTGAATAAAATCAACGGAGGTATCGAAGCAAGAATCTTCCAAAAATATTTAACTTTTCCACTGTTGAGATCCAAGTGAGAAATAATCATCGAAATCTCTTCTCTACGTTCTCACGCATTTGCAGTATTTTCATGCATCGATATTACTACTTTGGAATGTAATATTTCACCTACATACCCGATCAATTGTGTAGCGTATGCATGTACTAATCTTGTGCCCCTGGCTGTTTATGTGCCGATGAAATGTGTTGTTGAAATATTAGATATTGTTGGCCACGATACATTTCAAGTGTGGGGCGGTGGGGTAGCCTAATGGTTAAAGCGTTGGCTCGTCACGCCGAAGACCCGGGCTCGAATCCCCACATGGGTACAATGTGTGAAGCCCATTTCTGGTTTCCCCGCCCTGATGTTGCTGGAATATTGCTAAAGGCGGCGTAAAACCAAACTCAGTCAGTCAGTTAGTCAAATAGTGTATGATGAATGTATTCGTCAAACTGCAGTCAGTGACATCGGAATCCTTCTAGCCCCAGATCATGAGCCACATTCGTGTAAAAATGTTTCACGTCAAAGGTCAACAGAACAGCATGCGTAGGTATGACTTCAGATAGGTGATGGAAAACAGCCTGTATCATCTCGAACGAAAGCTGGAACTGTATTTGTGAGTGGTTTCAATATATTACATACGAAGTTGGTTGAGTATTGATAGAACTAGGTCTAGATACTTGGTCTCGGGGGTTCTCTATCTCAACCGATTCTCATTTCTGTTCAATAATTGCTTGTGTATTTGGGGCAGTCAAATACGTTTGCAGTCTGAAACCTTTCTATATCACAGTCGGTATAATATACCCGTACGTATATCATATTAATAGAATTACTACATTCAGAAAAAGTATTTTTATGGGAAGTTGTCTCAGTTTTCACACATGCAGATACAATTTCTCACACATTACACACAGGTAATTGAACAGGATTTGTGCGAGGATGTGTTGGATATGGATATTATCTACAGACAGATAAGCAGCTGTAAAATAGAAATATGTTTTTACTTACTTTCTCGAATCCTAAATGTTGCAATAAAACCAGAATACTGAACTGAACCGTCAGTGTGGAAGTGTATCTGGAAGTCCCTCTCCTGTGACACAACTGAAAACAATCAGGTATGCATAGTTACTATCTTTCATGCCATTCTAACTACTTTCACACAAACCACTTACAAATCTTGATTAAAACGTTGAACGTTTTGGCAGAGATTTCTTATGAATGTGAAAATGGTTTTGCCGCTTCTATTTGCTTACATGTAGACAAAGTTGTGCAGGCCATTGTGGCTATATCTACCATCAGCAATTTGAAGACACATAAAATCACACTGATTATCATTACTAATCCGTCGTTTTCAATCAATCCCGTACTGTCTGTGTCTAGCCACATTCTGATGGTCACTTTCTGTGACTGTGATTGAAAGGCAACTGTTATGTGACATCGCTCTGACTGAAACCTAAGCATGAAGCGAATACAACTGAATTTCTTTCATTTCAGATGACATTTCTGTAATTGAAAGGTAGATAAATGTTTATGTCAGGGATATCAGTGTGCCGATAGGTAAATAGATATTTCCATTTGGGACAATCATGAACTTAAGAGCAAATGACCTTCTTTAATATGTTATACATTATGTGGTGACGTACTGGTTGAGGTACCTCTTTAAATGACAGAACCCTTAATAATATAAGTACATTTGGCAACTGAAATAGGTCTTATGACGGACAATTACCACTAACCCTCTCGTTTATCTAACCGTTTTGGTTTATTGTTAGAAGCTAAGTCCAAAAATGACAGTTATCGATAATCCTTGAGTTTTATGTTTGATTTATTTTCTGAAACACTGCGGGGTAATAGGTATTGTAAAGAAATGTGGAAATGTAGGGTGTGTAGGTGAACACTCATAACGGACAATAATACTGCTCACGTACAGGAGTATGACACAGGTGTGGACTTCTGACCGCAGATCTTCTGACTGTTGTAAGAGAAGCTAACAAAGTCATAGCCGCAAGAAGAATGTTCTTCCAAGTGGAATAGCTGGAATGTTATGTCAATCTGGCTCCCTGCTGGTGGTGAAGGAATGGTGTAGAGGCAGTCAAGATTGGGAGAGTACGAAGACCCCGCTCCAGGGCTGCTAAAACTTCCATATGTACCAGTGAGATTTTGGGAACAGTCTGAAAGCGAAATACCTCGATATGTATCCTATACTGTATATTCATGACACTCCGAGATTGATATCATGGGACAGGGTACAGGATCAACATAAATACCAAGTGTGAACGATATTTCAAAACATTAACTGAAAGTGTGGTGTGGCAATTTCCTCACAAAACATTGAATATATGAAACATGCATTTGACCTCCATACCTTTAGCATGTTTCTTGACCTTACAGTTTTCCAGAAAAGACAATTCATTTCTCTCCTCAATAAGAGGCATGTGTTGAGATAAACATGCTAGAACTTATAGTCTATGTATATTTTCGATGCATCTACCAGATAACTGCCGACAGTCCTACGTGTCAAAGGTTTCTCAACATTCTAGATCAGTGATCATTGTTTCAAATTCAAGATATATATGCCAGACTTCACGCGTCAGTTGCTATGACCAAACACTATTACCTACCAGGATTAGGACTTGATGAAGAATTCAAGAATGCATTACCAGTCGTTGTCGTTGCATCTAAATGAGAAGAAATGAATATTATGACATTCAATAACAGTGATAAATGCTCTTATCAGTATTTCCGCTACATCTTTGTTGGTCAACGGAAGACCTCGAGGAGGGATGTAAATAGTAGACATACACCAGCTGACATATATTTGTGCAGGCAAGTTGAGTTCCTTAACTTACATGATGTGTACGGGGATGTGGTCCTGTTATACCATGGAGTGACGGTACTAGCACCAGTTGTCCAGTTCAGCCCTTGTGAAATCAAGAAAGATAGTTGTGTATTCAATCTAAAAAATGTAGTTCATGTCCAAACAGCAACTCATACGAGTTCTCTGATTACAAGTAGAAATAACATTATAGTCCCGAGAACACTACGATAGTAATGCGTCATAGATACACCATTACTTACAAGGATTATAGGTGGTGGAGGGCTGCTGTGCACTCCCGGTCGGTGGATCTGAAACAGTAAGAAGAAATATAATCATATTACTTCTAGCAATGGACAATTCATAGGCGAATAAAATTATTAGCTGTATGATCCGTTTTTCAATGAAGCAACATAGATATGTGTTTCCTTCACGAATGCTTCCAGCTTTGACAATCGTGATACATAACCTGTGCCTCACATGTATCTAAACTCACACGCAAAAGAAACGCAAGTCTAGTATAAAGTATATACGTACTTATTTTTTTACAGTATAGAATACAAATACCAACAGCGTCAGATATTCAGAAATTCGAGCAAGAACAGTTCATTAGCAACAAAAACAGATGACGTCATTACATTTTGTGACAGCAAAAGAGTTGCGCAGATTCTAGTCACTTGCCATGACGTCATTCAATACCTGGTGTGGCCACCATTAGCATTGATCACTGCAACACATCTCCTGTACATGGAGTGGATCAGACGATTCGTAAAGGCCCTGGGGATCCTCCTGCACACATCCAGAACAGCTGTACGAAGTTCATCAGCAGTTGTAGGCACTGGTCGCACTTCATTCAGACGCCTTTGAACCTCATCCCACAAGTGCTCAATTGGGTTCAGGTCAGGGCTGAGAGCTGGCCACGGTAGGATACGGATGTTGTGATGTTGAAGAAAGTCCATGGTAACTCTTGCAACATGTGGACGAGCGTTATCCTGCTGGAAAAGGTGGTTACGATGTTGGGCGAAAAATGGAACAACATGGGGACTGATGACTTGGTCAATGTAACGCTGAGCTGTGACCCCATGTCCTCCACCTTGACCCACATTCTGGAAGCACATTGGTTCAAGTCTCGCATTAAGTCCAATTCCGGCCCAAATCATGACACTAGGTCCACCCCATGCATCCCTTTCCAAAACATTTCTGTCAGCAAAACGATCTGCTTGACGTTGCCAAACTCTGACCCTTCCATCTGCATGTGACACACAAAACCGACTCTCATCAGAGAATATGGCACGTCTCCATTCACGTTGACGCCAGTTTTGATGACCCTGTGCCCACTGAAATCGTGCTTGTGGATGCCGTGGTTGGAGGAAAGGACGACGTGCTGGTCGGCGACATGGTAGGTTGTTGGAACGCTGACGTCGGATGACAGTGTCACGGCTGATGCGTCGATTATGCGTTCCTATGGTGTCTCGAGCAGTCTGGCTTGCTGTCAGGAAAGGATCTCGCTGGTGTTGACGTGTAATGTGTCGATCTTGTCGAGGGGTGGTGACCCTAGGTCGGCCGCTTCGGGGAAGGTCATCTGTAGTCTGCGTTGTGTTGTATCGATGCTGGAGACGGTAGATCGTGGTTATATTGACATTAAAGTGACGGGCAACATCTTGGACAGACTCTCCAGCTTCCAACCGTCCGATAGCCTGGTTCCTCTTAAGTTGATTTAAACGTGGCATTGTTGAACAAAGAGTGACTGCCCAAAGATTTTAGCTCAGTTTTATACCCACTGAAGATGGTGACAACTCGTGCATGTTTGATTGCATGAGGAAAGTGTGCATGATGCCCACATCGCCATTGAAGGAGTGCATTCTGGCGATTCGGTTTTTTTTCTTCTGTTCCCACACTGGCTTTGCAAAACGCAACAGAAGATGTAAACAACACCATCAACCATCATTATTTACCAACGTTGTTATAATTTTAGGGGTCTGATTTTAATTCCTCCTTTGAGTAAGAAACTTGCGGTTTTTTTGCGTGTGAGTATATATATCGATGATAACGATCTTATGTTTCAAATGTTGTGATCCCCTTGTGCAAACCACATCAGAATAATGGTGCCTGAATGACTACATCTGGCGCCATATTCTAACATTGTTTCAATGTCGGTTCATGTATGTGGTATATTTCACTTACATCGCCACACGACCATTGGTTTACGGAGAGCTTTCTGTTTTACTGCAGTTTCATGTATTGTACAACACATTGTTGTTGTTTTTTTAAAGACTGATTAGTTTTTAACACTGTATTTTTACAATAGTAGTAATTATAAGTTATTCTACTTACAGGAGGTGTACGGGGACGTGGTCCTGTAATACCATGGAGTGGCAGTACTAACACTCGTAGTCCAGGCCAGCCCTGGTGAAATCAAGAAAGACAGCTGTGCACTTAACCTCCATGTTCTGATCATGTTTCATGAGATTTTGATTCGCAACAAAGTGCTAAGAAGAAACGCATGGTTGGAAGATTATAAAATCTGGTTACATTTGGTTGCACGTTTGTCATGGTCATGGTTGCTGGTGGCATCTCGACCTCCTCCTAAAGACTGATGTATAGCTGTAAAGTTAGAAATACTTACTTTCTTGAATAAGAAATGTTGCAACAAAGCCACGGTATTCAGCTGAACCGTCAGTGTGGAAGTGTATCTTGAAGTCCCTCTCCTGTGACACAACTGAAAACAATGAAGTATGCCTTTCAACTATTTGACATATTTCATGCAAATCTTGCTACTTTTGCACAAACCACGGCAAATCGTATACGTCATTAAAACGTTGAACGTGTTGTCGCATATGTATACGGGCCATGTCAACTAAGTTGTGCAGGCGATTGTGACAATATTTACCATCAGCAGTTCAAAAACACGTTACAAGACAATGATTATCATTACTAATACGTTGTTTTCAATCAATCCCTTACTACCTGTATTAGTACAAACAGGTGAGGGACAGTTTACATGGTTTCTTCTTCTGTCTCGTGTCTCGTGTCCAACGAGTTAAGGGAATGTCACTGAGACTGAAAGGTAGCTGTTGGGGGACATCACTTTAAATGGAAGTTAGGTAACATTTGACAGAAGGGGTGTCACTGTAACAGAACGATCAACTTCGTTCATATCAGGGAATATCAATGTACCTGAAAGCTTTAATCACTATTTCCATTTTGGTACAATCACGGAACTTGAAAAGCAAATAACATTGCCTGCTACGGTATGCATTCTATGGTGACGTATTGGTTGAGATACGTCTTCAAATGACAGAACGCTTAATAATGTATGTACTTTTGGCAACTGACAGGTTACCCCTAACCCTCTCGTTTATCTAACCGTTTTGTTTTACTGTTAGTGGCTATGTCCATCAATGACAGTTATCGATAATCCTTGAGTTTTATATTTGATTTACTTTCTGCAACACTGTGGGGTTATAGGTATTGTAAAGAAATGTGGAAATGTAGGGTGTGTAGGTGAACACTCATAACGGACAATAATACTGCTCACGTACAGGAGTATGACACAGGTGTGGACTTCTGACCGCAGATCTTCTGACTGTTGTAAGAGAAGCTAACAAAGTCATAGCCGCAAGAAGAATGTTCTTCCAAGTGGAATAGCTGGAATGTTATGTCAATCTGGCTCCCTGCTGGTGGTGAAGGAATGGTGTAGAGGCAGTCAAGATTGGGAGAGTACGAAGACCCCGCTCCAGGGCTGCTAAAACTTCCATATGTACCAGTGAGATTTTGGGAACAGTCTGAAAGCGAAATACTTCGATATGTATCCTAAACTGTGTATGAATGGTACTCTGAGATTAATATCACGTGATAGAATACAGTTGAAACTATACACCAGATAATGCATCGTGGTATAATGACTAAATACCAAATGTAAACGACATTTCAAGACATTAACTGAAACTGTGGTGTGGCAATTACCTCACAAATCATATTAAATATGCTCTTGACCTCCACAACTTTAACAAGTTTCTTGACCTTACGGTATTCCAGAAAAGAAGAATATTCGTCTTCTCAAAAACATGTATGTGATAAGGGATTCTTGTTAAAACATTACATCTTATAGTATATGTATATTTACCTACCAGCATTAGGACTTGATGAAGAATTCAAGAATGCAGCACCAGTCGTTGTCGTTGGATCTAAATGAGAAGGAAAGAATGTTACGACATTCAAACTGTGCTTAGTATCAATTGTCGAAAGTAGGTAGCTAGTTAGTGTAACTAGAATATGCTTATGCAGGCAAGTAGAGTTTCTTTTACTTACATGATGTGTACGGGGATGTGGTCCTGTTATACCATGGCGTGACGGTACTGGCACCAGTTGTCCCGTTCAGCCCTTGTGAAATCAAGAAAGATACTTGTGTATTCAACTTAAAAAATGTAGTTCATGTCCAAACATCAACTGATACGAGTTCTCTGATTACAAATAGAAACAACTAATGAGAACATATAAGGATCATACTTGCTTGACAACCATACAAGACTCTGTATCGAAACGTCGCATCATTGGAATAAAGAAGTTGTTCATCAATAAAGTTTGTCCTATCTGATTCACCAACTTCTAAACATGCCATTCAAAGAAGCTAATGATAACACTACGATAGTAATGCGTTACAGATACACCATTACTTACAAGGATTATAGGTGGTGGAGGCCTGCTGTGCACTCTCAGTCGGTGGATCTGAAACAGTCAGAAGAAATATACTCATATTACTTCTAATAATGAACAATTCATAGCTCTACTAACCTTTTTATCAATGAAACAACATAGATATATGTTTTCTTCACAAAAGCTTCCAGCTTTGAGAGTCGTTTCTGAACATTCTTGATCAATGATCCTCGTTTTAAATTCAAGATATATATATGCCAGAATTCGTATGTCAATTGCTATGACCAAACACTATTATCTACCAGAATTAGGATGATTATTTCCTGTACCATTCGTTGTCGGTGCATCTTAGTTGCTTGATTTGTTGTTTTACGCCGTACTAGCAATATTCCAGCTACATGGCGGTGGTCTGTAAATAATCGAGGCTGGACAAGACAATCCAGTGATTAACAGCACCAGCATCGATCTACGATACTGAGATATGATGACATGACTGTGTCAACCAAATCAATGAGGCTGACCACCCGATCCCGTTTGGTCGCCTCTTACGACAAGCATGGTTACTGAAGATCAAGTCTAACCCGGATCTTTCATGGGGCTGTGCATCTTAACGAGACAAAATAAATGTTATGACATTAACAGCGATAAATGATCCTTATGCGTGTCGTATATTTCAGTTACATCACCACACGAATATTTGTTTTATGTAGGTTTTCAGGAATGTAGTACTTCTAAATGTAAGCATAGATATGGATTTAAGCTGCTTTTGCAGCCAAGTGTAATGCATTCTGAAAGAGAACAGACGAATCCATATCAGTTAAATTTCATTCTTATTGTTACATATAGAAACATACTTGTGTGGGGTTTCAATTGATTCTCACCACAACCCTAGAAAAAGAAAGATATCTGTGTACTCAACCTACATAATATGTCAAAGCATTCATTAATCATTCGTAAATTTTGCTTTCTTTTATCCATCCTTCGCATACATCCATGATGTCAGCATATTAAATATTGACAAATCCTTTCTGAGAAACTGGAAACAGTGAGAATTTCTGACAAAATTGTGACGCGTTCATGCAAGCTCTCTCAAATAAATGATTCTGAAACGACTGTGTTTGAAATAGACATACAACATGTTTACTTACAAGGTGTTATAGTGGCAGATGTAGTCGCTGGTGTTGGATCTTGAACATGAAGAAAACCATGATTATAATATCATTGTAAACCAAAAGTCACTGTGTTCTTTAATCTGATTGGCTGCAAAACATGATCGAATGGTATTCGATTCCCGGAAATTGCAAGACCATTCGCTGAGTATTAATACGTACGAACATCGCACAGACCATTGTACTGTTACGTCGTCAGCATTGGTGACGTTATTCAAATCATATAGTCCGAATGACGTCACAAGTGAGCAGTTCCTAATGCATGCTACCATGGGAGACAGCCGAAACGGCCGGCCAATGACATTTCACTGCTGTACCCGTACTCGATGTCAATGAGTGCAGACAGAAAAACGTGTGTGGACCTTTTGGTTTACTTTTGTGTTTACAATGTCGATTAACATCATGTGTTGGCCAATTTCCGGGTGTTATTGAGTATTTGAAGCGCAGAAATATTTTATTTGAAACCTCTGGCTAATGTCGTCAGTTCCAAATGAATTCCCGTGCTTCAAATACTCAATAACACACGGAAATTGGCCAACACATGATGGTAATCTCCTAAATGAACAAAGGCACTTACTGCAATAAAGTGTACACGTATGGTTATAATTACAAGTATATTTATCTCTATAGTAACATTTCAGAACACTGTGATGCCGGTAGGGGCATGGCCACGTCACCGAGCTCGTGTATATTGCTGAAACCCAGAACCGAACACAGCCCACCGACACACCTGTGCTCCTACATCATTGGACTGTATCAGCGTCACCTGGGTGAAAATGTAGAAAGCCCCATGCCTTTAAAACATTTGTAAAACGCACACACACGGCTGGGAGATGATAAGAATCATAATGGATTAAAGTAAAGGCTTATACTCACAGGAAACTTGTCGTTTCTTCCGGTGGGAAGATATTTTCTGTAAAATCATGAATCAAATCTAATAGTAAAGCTGTATTTCATCAGTGACTTAGAGCTCTTTTCAATATACAATGACGTAGGAGTGATGTGACATGTAAATTGTACGTCAAGATAATTTTTACCTGTTGACAAATAACAAATCAATTACCTGATTTTACTGAGAAAAGGCATTAATACACGCATGCAGACAGACAGATAGACAGACAGAGACAGACGCTGAGCTGTGTGTGACTACAATGTTCCCTACAGATGTACCTACCAGCCAGTTAAGATGGTTGAGGGGTTTAGTCTCACATACAAGCACAAGACACAGCCACGCCAGCACCGCGGCCACGCCCCAGTAGCCCAGCTTCATCCCAAGGGGAAGGTGTGCACCTTGCAGCTACCGTGATTGACAGTCGACACTGAAAACGATCAAATACACAATGCGATTGAAACGTCTATTGCCGAGTAGTTCCTTTCTATATATTATAGAAAGATGTCTCGACATCCAAACGTGTACTGTAATTCGCCTCCTTCTTTAGAGCACTTGGGATTATTGTCATTGTATTTAAAATACAAAGTAAACAGTGTTTAAAAGGTACTACCAAGCCGTATCAGTGTTGGAGAAAAACCTAAAGGAGTTGGATTAGGATTCCAGTTGCATGGCACGAACGTCTGTGTTCGAGAGTCGGAATCCCAGAGTAGATATCATGTTTCCAAATTCATCAGCACTCGTGCCCATTAGCTTTCACAAGTGATATGTAAACTTTTATCACAGCTTCATTACGAAGAGCAGTTATTTCAACCTTCTTTGACAGCACTAGTTTTTCCAAACTGTCCGATAGTCTGTTGAAGGATCACATCCTTTTTAGGGCACCATATTTTTGCGCTCTAGCCATTACGAGAAATAGTACCGGTTTCCGTTTGACAGAGGTGTTCGACAATCTGTATAGCTAAGCCTGTTGTATACTGATGAACTTTTGAGAGATGTATTAACAAGTAGGAACGAATCCAGTGTACTGAACGTTAAATGTGCTAAAATGTGATTTGGTCGTGAAATCCAGTCTGACCCGAGTTCCTAAGATTACTTGACCCAAGTTCCTAAGATTAAAACTGAACGATGCCAGCGCCTGGGATAAACATTTCTCCAAATGTTCAAATGAATAAGCATTTGCCGTATCACGTATATTTAAGGTTCAAATGTACTGCATTTATGCGACGCGTAGTGATGTTTATATTAATAGCAGGTCCTTTGGACAAATGCTCATGTGCAGGAATCACCACAACCCAGTATTAACACAACACTGTTTGTTTTGTAACATGCTCAAGAGAGCATCAGAGTGCACTGCTCTACTCTTCTGTGTCTTTAAGAAATGTAAGTGGTACATGCTCACCAGACCATAGACGAGACTAATATTTGCTATGCTTAATGGGGTTATGTGTTCAGCAGTACAATCTGTTTACCACGGGATTATCAGAGCATGACATAAACAGATGACATACAGCACGTCAACCACGTCCGTCAATACAAAATGAAGCTGTGAAAATTGCACACGACGTCAAGAAACATATCAAGGCAACCAGTAGATGGCCACCCTTTATAGAACAGAAATAACAGTTTCGTTGTTATCTCAACTCCCTTCATATATTATGCCGAACGAACTTGTGGGGTAGAGGTGTAAAAGATCCCCCATTGTGTCTCAAACGTGTTTCTTTACAAACAGTGAAGTTTGGTAAGAGTTTGAATGTATTGTCAAGGAGACCATTCAAAGCATTTACTGGTGAGACGGTTGTCAGTCCTACAATACCCTACAATACACTGACGTCATTATACGACGTCAATCCTTTATTGGTTGTCAGCTACATGACATTTCAACAAGGGCCAACACTCACTGTATCCACAACCGTAGGTTAAGAGAAGGTTTAGTTAAATACTGGGACTGGTTTGCTCAGTATGTAAGGACTAATAAAACTATCATAATAGAGCGTACTCATCACCAACCTATTAGCGGTCTGTCAGAGCTAAATCTTAAGTTATAGAAAAACGTCACAAACGTAAATGTACAATCATTCAAAGATGATTCAAAGATGCATGAACAGTCTTATGTATGCATATTTTACACTTCGAGACCTGTGTAAAGGTATGGGAGTACGTAGAACTGATACTGGCATGGACCTGTGACCCTGAAACAAGTGTTGTGTAATATCCATATATAGTACAACAAGTAATTATTGAGAATTTAAAGATTGTAATTTTTTACATTTTTTTTACTCATTACTCACGTATTAAATGTGAATATTAGCAGAACATCACTCCAGATTCAAAGACAGGTGAACAGTTAGTATTTTGTCAAGTCACCATGGGCAGCAATGCAGGCTTTAATGCGGCGGGGCATACTACTAATCAAAGAAGTTAGAAAGTCGTGGTCCATGCTGTCCCAATATCGGACTACCTCTTCTTTCATTTCAGCAATATTAGTCAGATTTTTCTTATTGATACTTTCCTTCATAAGTCCCCAAACATTTTCTATTGGATTTAGGTCAGGGCTATAGCTTGGCCAATCTAATAATGTCATATTTTGGGTCCGAAACCAGGCCTGTCAATGCTTTGAATGATGTTTTGGGTCGTTGTGCTGCTGGAAAATCCACAAATTTCCATAGAACATGTGAGCAGATGGAAGTAAATGTCCCTCGAGAATATCTGTGTACCGATCACTGTTTATATTCCCTTCAAATACACAGAGGGGCGTTGCCCCTAAGACAGATATGCCACCCCACAAATTTCGGACTGTACTTTAGGCGCTGATACAAAGGTTTTTCAGTTTGTTTGGTCCAGAATTTCACTGTATTAGGAAACAGCCACATAGAACTTTCATCTGAGAAAATCACATTGTCCAAGTTCAAATTTCTATGCTGTAAGCACCAATTCAACCTTCGCTCCTTTTGTTCAGGATTCATGATCGGTGATGGAATTCCTCGACATTTCTGCCAACCCATTGCATGCAGCTCAGTTCTAATTGTCTCCTTACAGACAGCCACAGTTCCTCTATCAATCATATCCAGCCTTAAGTTTTCTAAACTCCTTCGTTTGATTTTAGAAACAAGAATACCAAGCCGCCTCCTGTCACTAACAGGGCCTACCTGCGCCTCCCTGGTGCTCAATGCCATATCCATTTGCAATATTTTTCGAAACACGATAAACAGTGGCCAAAGGGATGCCTGTTCTACTTTAAATCGCTTTAGCTGATCTGATGTCCTTGTTATAATACTCTAAAATCAACTTCCTCTTCTCTAAATCATCCATACTGAGGATCACTGAAAATGTCGTCTGCTAGCAAGTAAACAAAGGGGGGTAACTCTTCACAAACTAATGAAAAAAGGATTAACGGAGTTGTCTCTCTTGAATGAAACCAAGCACTTGATAGGTGGTCAAGGTTGTTTATACTAGAAATCCAATTAAACATATTCCTAAAATTCTCAATAATTTCTGGTCATACTATATATGCTATTAACAGTAATTCGGACAGACGATGTTTTGTCAAAAGTTCGTCGAATCATATACAATGCCATGAAAGCTTTTTCTACCAGTAAAGTGGTTACCGAATAAGCGACTATTACCAAAGAAAATGTAATTTTCTCAACTTTTAGGCTGATACAGCTTTTTCTATGAGCATAGATTGAGCGCACAATGTCCTCTTCAAGCAGATTGTCATTTCACTGAACATAAAGCGAAAGACGAAGAAAAGATAATCATGAAAACGACAAACAACGTGCCTCACATTTTTATGCCTGTATGGGCTATGAGAAGTCAAGGCCAACAGGTCTGTCCCAAACTAGTTCACCTCTTTATAAAAATAGCCCATGACGCAAATATAGACCATAACGCTTGGTTCAGCTGGTCATGTATGCATTGTACGGAACAAACAACACTAATCCTTTCGACCTTTACTGGGTCTCACTGGCCTCAATATCACGATGAAAAGAAACACAAAATATGATGAACATTTCACCTTTCGATATTAGTTTTACAAAATTGTCTCAATATTTATGTATCGTAGAACAAAGCCCGACTTAAATTTTAATAGAAGCGACGAAACCCTCTCCAAATTCGGGGCGGTGTGGTAGCCTAATGGTTAAAGCGTTCGCTCGTCACGCCTCGGTTCGATTCCCCACATGGGTACAATATGTGAAGCCCATTTCTGGGCCCCTGCCGTGATAATGATGGATTATTTCTAGGGCTGCGCAATATAACCGGTTTACCGGTACTTACCGGTGCAGACATGAAAACGATACGTATTTCGATACGCTGATCGAAAACCGGTATTTTGACATGCACTCGGAAAACTTCGTAATACTCGGAAATCTTCGGATATTTCCGTTTTTTAAATTGTTCCTTTCCTTGTTTCATTTGAGCCAAACATTGTTTACATTTTTATTTTGTCATGATTAAAAGTTTTTATTAACGCCTAATCAAGCATTGTGATTTTGTTGCGTTTTTGGTTTAAAAATCAAGCATTAACTCGATTATACGTGTTTTTTGTTAAAGAAAACTCCTTGCAATATATTGAAATACATATCGCAATACATGCTTTCGCATCGCAATTTATCGCAATATGAAAATTCCTTGCAATACCCACCCCTAATTATTTCTAAAAGCGGCGTAAAACTGAACTCACTGACCTTCATAAGACCTCTCTGCTAAAAGCAGAATCGAGTGTACAATTGTGACTATATCATGAGTATATGTTTGTTTCAGCAGCATTACAGCTGTACGATGTTGTTTGTAAACAAATCGAGTCTGGACAAGACAATCCAATGATTGTCACCATGCGATGACAGACGATGACAGAGCATGTGTCCTGACGCCATGTTTAGGGAACACAGTATATGTATCTGAATGAACAACCAAAATCTTCAACGTTGAAACGTGTCCTGCTCTAGTAACATGATCATGATTTACTAATGAGTACCTCTAGCCCCTCGCCTGCTTGGTTATTATCACTACTATCCATGTAGAAATAAGTTATTATTCCCTCAACCCATTAATCAATTCATTCCCCTCCACGGTTTATCAAAATACATACATGTCAGTTTATGATCTACAACGTTATAAGCACTGCCTATCAACAGCTTGTGGAGAACGTTGGCGATATTAGGAAAGTGTTAATCTTTTAAACCAAAGTAAAACCTACCAGACGAACGCTTCCATTACCATCCATCAATAAATGCACTGTGAATGTTTATGTAATGACGATAAGTCTATCGGTCGTCCGTAAAGCAATATTATATTTTTATTATTTATAAAATAATCGTAAAACGCATTTCTTTCAAAATAGATTTACATATCATACATTTCACACAAAAAGCTTGGGAGGTACAAGACAGGATTTATATTCAGTTTGAATCCACTACACTTTGAAGC